GTTATTGAGTTGTTTTTTGTCTTTAGTTTATTTATTTATTTATTTTTGTTTGATACTGAGTAGCTTTGTTTTGTTGTTTGTCAATATGTTCGTTTGTTTGATAGTAATTTTGTTTGTTTATGTGTTTGTTTGTCACTTTTGTCTGGTTGATTGTCTGGTTGCTTGCTTTCTTGCTTCATTGTTGTGGTAACATTTGGACACTTTTTTTCCAGGAGTCCAAGCCAATATAAGTTACAAAACTTCAGCAGATGTCATTTGTATCATATGGAGGCTTACATGCGRCAGCGGGTCAATAACGATTATCTTACCGTAGTCTTAAAGTTACCCGATGAACAAGGGATGCCACTTTTCCCCTCTGAGTTTGTCTACTGGATGAGACCAGGTAAGGTTCATCTTTGTGCTCAGTTGTCACGATTGATTAGTTGTGTCGATGGAACAGAATATCCAAATAGCAAAGGAGTTCTTTTTATACCACTRCTTTTATCTTCACCCATTTTCTCCTTTTATCTCTGGTAAAGTATAAAGAGCTTTTGCCTTTTACTCCATATTTACCTTTATTATCACGTATTTATTAAATCACAGGTTCTAGAGTTCTTAAGTTTCAATTAACCAACAACATCAGTAGAAGCATTGTTCTTGGTTCAGAGTTAAYTTTTGAAGGTGAGTCATTACTTGTTCACTTATACTTCTCGCTCTTTATTTTGGACTTTTCAAAACTTCTATAATTGATTACTCTCTTCTCCATAGCTGTCTACAAATTCTGCTGCAAAGGTCTTGCCTGTCCTTCCTGTCCACTGGTAAGACAGCTGGAGGCTTTTAAGCGAACGATAATGGTTAACGGGAGACTCGAAATGAGCTGTGAAGAGCACAAAATGAAATTGAAAATCTCGACGATCGTGCAACCGGACAATTACAGCATTGATGTAAGATATGAGATCTCTTTTGAGTCATATGTATATATATTTTCGAGTTGTCTATCACTAGGGCTTTCTGAAAAAAATATCAGAGATGACATCCCATAATTTTTGATGCACTTTTGATGTACTTGTATATATATGTGTGTGTATATATATATATAAAGGCTCAAAGTTTATGCAAACCGCAGTGTATATGTATATATATATATATATATAGATTGTAGATATAGATCAAATACAAGAAATCACTTTAGCTGTTAATCCGAGTTTCACGCTTACGCGATCATCATACARACTTTAATTAATTAAATTAAAAGATCGCGAATAGCTAARGTGATGTCTTGTATTTGATCTATCTGCAATCTTTATATATATTCCTATATTTATATAATTACGCGAAAAAGAAGAAAAAACTTAAGACAGAGATAAAGAACGAATTTTATGATGCTAAAAGGAAAAATTTACAAGAAACGCATTGCGAGTTAATACATATAAGTCGATGGTCAGGTGTTGAAGAAAGCCGAAATGAAGCTTATAAGTTTTGTTTGTTTGTTTGTTTGCTTGCTTGTTTGTTTGCTTGTTTGTTTGTTGTTGTTTTTTTTGTTGTACTGCAAGTGCTTTTATTACGCAAAAACTGTTACCATGATCGTTTTCGATTTTGAAGAACCTGTATAAGACTTGATAACTAAATATAGGATTCTTCTTCTACTAATACACTCAAAGGTTTATGCGGGAAAATTTTTTTCTTAAAATTCARACATTTTACTAATGTTGTACGCAATCGAAATTCAACACCTAATCTTTTCTACAAATGATTACATTTCCACCCGGAAGTACGTCACAAATTGAAAGCCCCATAACAAACGCACGTGATGTGGAGTGCTGTGCTGTGCTGTGCGCCATCATAAACAACGTGCTTTAGTCCACCAAATAGAAAGCGAGATTTTTAGATGGTTATTATTTTCCGCACAGAGAAAAGAAACACACACACACACAAAAACAACTAATAAAACAAATAAAAATATAAAATAATACATCGTTTTCTTACTGTAGGAAGCTCGGACAAAGCTCATATGTTTCTTTACGTTCAGTCTAAAGTATTTTCTTATATTTGAATGTTTTTACCAAAGTTTTACAACAAATATATTTTTTTAAATACATACATAGTTATCGTATCACTTTCCCGACGACCTAACGCATTGGCACAAGAAAAGACGTATTACGAAGTCCATACAAGTTTCCGGTAAGCAATAGATATGGCGTTTCAAAACAAATGATTTTATGTTTACKTGGGCGATTCTAAAGAACAAATTTGACCTTTTCAGATTCAACCAGGCTCCAATGTTCGTTTGAAGATGGAATATGTCCGGGATGGATTGTATCGTCACACGACAGTCCATCATGCCGGTGGAGTTTAGAAAAAGGTGAGAAGATCAAGGGTATGTATCGTTAGTCTTAAGTATTCTCTCTCCTGTTGTTGCTTCTTTTTTTGATTAGAGAAATACCAATAAGTATAAAAGTATTGAATACTTCATATAAAACAAACCTTTCTTATCGGTGGGCTTATTCTTCCACTGGACCAGAGCATGTCATGGTCAGATTGATCTTCGTGGAAACGACGGGACGCGCCTGATATGAAATGAATCAAACACGTTCAATCGAGAATGATTTGCTTCTTCGACTATGCTTCGCCTTAGGAAACATAGAGAGTGTTGGAGAAACAATTAAAACTAATTTCCATGCATATATCTACAGATTTCACCAATATGACGATAACACTCATTGGTTGATAGATTACCACTGGTATGCGGGACTTATACTAATAGTAATTAATTTTTTTTATATGGCAAGGTATTTTCACACCGTTATGATTGTTCAATTTACGGTCCATACGGTACGGACCAAAAAATGAAACAAAATGCTGTACTTAGGATCTTTTAAAAACATTCAAATCGTTCTAAAAAAAATTTTCTAGATGGAAATCGCCGAAAAACTTAAATAAATTATCTAATGATAACCTACTTTAGACTGATAAAGAAGTCACAACGTCAATAAGCGAGAAGTTTTTTTGAACTAGACACTACATTAGTTGAGCAATTGCGATTTCGTACGACTTAAATAAAAAAAAACTAGGTAAAACTACGAACTGAATAGCGGCTTCAATAGCTCATAAATGAAATAAAAATAGTTTTACTAGAAAAAAAAAATTATAATTTCATCAAGCAAATGTATTATTTCAGTAACGTTACAACGTTAAGTTTGAACTTATCTGAGTCGATCCAATGAAGAAGTCAGTGGTTTCTTTYGTTGGAATTTTAAGCAGTTTTCTAGGCTCATCCGCTTTTTAGGTATTTCCATATCTCATAATATTTCATCCTCACTTGAATTTAAAAGCATTTGCGGACAGGAGAGTTGGCAGTACCTTTTCACTGAGTTGAAAATGCGTTTATTGTGCATTATGGCCGGCATGCTTCAAACAGTCAACAGTATCAAAAAACTATCCATGTTCACTAAGTTGTAATTTTCCAAAGCTTCTCATTCATTCCTGGAGAGYATTTTCATAAGAAAACAAAACGAAAGCCAGTAGTATTTTTTTTTCATATTGGTTGACAATCTTGAGTCTAAAAAAACGTTTGAAGTACGACAGTTTTATTCTAATGCTCAGGTTTTTTGCATTCACATGTTTTGTGAAAGAAAGCCTAACTTTCAGTAAAAAGAAAGGCTCACTTTTTTCTAGTATTTCAGATAACTTTAAAACTAAAAACTATCTTCCTGAGCGACTCAAACACGCATGATTTGTGGCACGTACAGGAAGCCTTTCCAATGAAGTTCCCGTTTGACATGCGTCTGTTTTTTTTGTTGTTGTTTCTCCCCCTCTTTTCTAACTAAATGCCTTGCCATACAATAAATATCTTATTATCCTTGTTTGCTCGGTTCGTAACGTAAGTTATGGACCCTTTTTTTTTTTCACTTTCTTATGGCTCTCGCGCTACTCAGTTAATAAGGGTTATGTATGCCTCACTTCCAGTACACACGTGTATCATCCCACCAATACAAATTGGCGGGAAAACCTGTCTTTGGTATGAACTAAACTACTTGTAATTTTTTGTATTCACTAACTTCCGTTACACGCGTATTATCCCACCAAAAAGGACAGAAAATCTGTCTTCTGTTAAATTATGCACCCTTACCAAAGAAGATGGTTTTAAATTGCCAAGGTTTAATTATAATATCAAGACTACAATAAGATCAAGAAGAAGAGCTGAAAGAAAGTTCAATTTCCTGTTGACACTGATTCTAAAACCATAACTGAATTCGAAGCTTTTCATCCAGAAAATTGACAACACTAACAGACGTCCTGATGATATATCGTGGGTAACCAGTTGGATTCTGCTACCGATGTGTATTTGACTGACTTTAAGTTATTGACATCAAATTGAAGGAATGGTACGGTTCATAAGTAGCGTGCATCTACCGAGTTATCGATGCACGCGGGAGGCTGCTAAGCACGAAAGAAGCGTAATGAGTAGCACAAGTATTACTCATCTCAGAACAAAAATCCCAAAACAATCACTTTACTCACGATTAGAACATTGTTTTAACTTCTCAATTCGACGTTTTATTTTATACAGCACAAGGTTAAAATATTTTTTCAAAGTTCTTTATATTTCATGACGTGCCAAAGTAACTTGGTAATAAAAACTTTTCCGCCAACATAAATTTATTGGAAAATAATAAAATTTCACAGATTTCAAGCCAAAATGTTAAAAAAAGTTTTTCAACAAAGAAGCCCATACACATTTTTGCAAAGGAACGCTAGGCCCTCGAAGTTGGATGATATATTGGCTCTCTCAGAGAGTCAATTATGCACAAATCGGTTTTTCTCCTTTTTCTCGGAAATATAGCGATATTTTGGCAAATGAAGTATAMCACGGCTTATATCGCCTCAAGGTCTTCCTAATACTTAAAGTGCAACTGAACCCAATTTTTCCGAAACCTTATTCAAATCTACATACATTTAAAAGCGAAATGCAAAAAGAATTTTTGAATTAGGTAAATTCTCAATTCGTAATATCAATTTGAATTTGGCGCCCTTGCCGAATTTAGAGGTTCCTCGTGCAATTTAGGGGCCTGGGTCGAGTGACGTCAGCTAAGGTACGCGAACTAGCAAGCTATACAAAGCTACAGTAAAGTAAAGGCATCGTTCATGCTTGTTGCTCCCTTGTATTCCTTGTTATCGCTCGAAACATATCGAAATCTTCTGGAAAACTACATAAATGGAAATGTMACTAAGCTGTTCGGATACTGAGAGCTCTTTAGGCTCTTTTATTGGTGATATATCGGATCTTGAAGAGGAATTTGAAGAGACAACGGTTGATGCGTCGACAACCAAATGTTCATCTACAGCAGGAGCTGAACTCGATGATGTAGACGAAGGCGCTTATCAGGATGAGCCCATAGCAAGTGATCAGTGCCGGGATGGACCAATATAACCAGAGGCAAAAGGAAATCGAAGAGCTTGAATCAGAGCTAAAGAAGCGACTTACCGGCGAATTGCCAGCTAGCGATTGGTAAGTGAGAAACTCGTGGTCGCATTCAACTCCTAAAGTTAAGAATTATGTGAAACGTAAACACAGATTTTTTTAGCAAACTTATTTATTCTTTATTGAAGGTGCAAGTGCGGAAATTGTGCAATCACGAACCTCCAAAACATAAGCGAATGTTACTGTTGCACGGAAATAGAAGGTTGTGTTGAATCCCTCACAACAGATCTGGTGCGACAAGAATTGTCACCCGAAGTTGAACTTTCCTGTGTGACTCAACATCCTGGATTCCAACCGGTTTGCCTCAACAAGTGGAGTTTGAGAATGGCTGCCGACAGATTCAAGACGAAAAATAAGCAGARATATCGTCAAACAGGATCTGAAGAAAGGTAAGAATGTGTAATATTGTTCAGTGCGTGTCCCTTACAGTAGTTAGGACTTACTCACGTTTGACGTAAAAGGTTGCTTTACATTCATGTCGGAATAGCCGTTGTTTCCAAAGGACAACATTATTATCAGATGTAGGTCTAAAGAGCTATCTATTTGTTTGTTTGTTTTGTTTTTTTTTGAAAGCGAGAGTTCTTTCGCCCTTCCATGACCCTCCCATGGCATTTTCACGTACATACACTTCTCTGCACTACTAGTCAACACCTATATAAAGTGGAGAAGTATTTACGTTGTCTTGGAATCTATTCCCTTTAAAATAATTTATTTCCCGTTCCCTTCATAGGYTTTTGAGAAGTATCGCTTATAGAGAATTTTCGCGCCTCATTCATGGCTGGCTTGGATCAAGGAGAATTCCTTTACCAGCATGTGCGTACCTCGCCATACGAGATGCATTTCCTCTTGGTACAAGTGAAGTAACTTACACCGGATTTGATTTGGATGAAGAATCATAGACTCAATGTTTCTGCAATTACTCTTATTTATTTCTTTTTTTAACTGATGAATGTTTTTACTATAAATCAGTAAAATAAAGTATACTTTTTACAGCTTTATGAAGCTTTGTCAAATACATAATATTATATACAAGTTTGATAAACTGGACCCACTATCGGTTGTAAAAAATGTCAGTTTCAAAACTCAGAACATAGAACCTTAGACTGAAATGGTACACGAGTAGCACAGCMAAAAGTCTCTGGTGTATCTCAAACTATTCAGAGGTTTACTATGTCATTTTCCATTCTGGTTCCAGCTTCTATGTTACTGAAATAGGCAATAATTTCACAATGGTCCTAAGTTTTGGTATTTGGTTTTCCTATTGAATAGTTTGTTTGATGGTATGGTGCATTAAAAGAGAAAATTAATGCTATTTTGTTAATTAAGAACTGGAACAAAAATTGATTACTGTACATATCATGCTAATAAAAATATTTATGTTTTGTTATTTCTTGGACAATCTTTAACTTTGTTATGTCCCTTTATGGGTTGCTGACATTGTCTGCACTTCGGGGGTGCTCTATTTGCAGGAACTTCATGTTGGACCTGTGCTTGGTTCTGCAATGCTATGAAATAGATACAAGGTTTTCAGAATAATGCATATAGGCATTATAAGAATAAAAAATACTAGGCCACACATACYTGGTKTAGTGGCAGGCGTATCTGCAACTTCCATACTTCTTCTTTCCAGTCTTTTTTGAACGGCTTCAGCAACAGGCTGCTTTTGAAGTACCGAGTTCATAGGGGATGGAGTCATTTCTTGTAGTTCATCTCTGGCACTTCTAATTTCTTCTTTGCTGCTTGTCAGGAAGGTGTCATACAATTCCTCTACATAATCTGTAAAATAACACTTGAGGGTGAGTTTATTCGTTATCGCAAAACATTTATTAAAGTTTTGTTGAGAAATATTATAACTATTAAACACCATTTCTTACCAAAGTTTTGGGTGATGCACACATTCCTCACTGTGGCCTCCCCGTTTTTGAACTTTGGATATGACACCCTCAACTGCTCAGTCCCATCAGCTTTGTACTTAACTTCTCTGTCCAAGTTGGAATTGAAGTGGAGAATGGCTAAGATGTGTCTAAAAA